ACATACATACATACATACATACATACATACATACATACATACATTACATACATACATACATACATACATACATACATACATACATACATACATACATACATACATACATACATACATACATACATACATACATACATACATACATACATACATACATACATACATACATACATACATACATACATACATACATACATACATACATACATACATACATACATACATACATACATACATACATACATACATACATACATACATACATACATTACATACATACATACATACATACATACATACATACATACATACATACATACATACATACATACATACATACATACATACATACATACATACATACATACATACATACATACATACATACATACATACATACATACATACATACATACATACATACATACATACATACATACATACATACATACATACATACATACATACATACATACATACATACATACATACATACATACATACATACATTACATACATACTTTTCCTTGGGATGGGCGAGGAGTTGGCGAATGAAACTGCTCGCCCGCGAACTGGAGTCTACGAGTTCAACAAGTCCAGCCTGAATGCTTTGCAAGTTTCGCTATATTCCCCAGGGTGTCCAAGTTTCCCTAAGCTTAGACATCATTTTCAGGCGAATCGCAAAGGAGTGTCCTCGGGTCGGGTGTTGCTTGATTTTATCGGGATGAGTTCTCCAACCTGTTCAATGTCGGTCCCTGTCACCTTTTTTGTATAGGTGTATCAACATATTATTGAAAGCAATTCGGATCCCTGGGTTCGGAAAGGCTGGCAAATATTCCGTTTGAACCAGACCCTGAGGCCCCTCGACAACGTGGGAAATCATCGCTTTTGGAGGGAAACACCCCTATTAATTAACTGCGGGTTGATTAACATGGGGTCAACATTAAGTTGTACTCCTCTGGGCTTCCTTTGGGAAATTGGTCAGTCTCTTCTCCTCCCACTGCGCAACGTGGAGAAGATTCAGCGAGCCCCCTCCCTGTGCCAAACCCCCCAATTGAACGTAGACTCTAGAAGTCTGTGTTTTGCAGGAAAGTGTGCCCACACAGCCCAAGTTAATTTTCTCGACATTCTAGTGTACGATTTCAAAAGAGCCATCTCCCCTGCCATCTCACTCCTCAAGCACCCAACCTGTCTTATATAGACTGAACATGTGGTAGCCTCATAACTTTTTTGAGCTAAGTCGGGTTGGAGGCGTTCCGGTGTTTCGAGCCTAACGTGGATTCCTCCCCCTTGTGCTTCCAAACAACCGCTGCCTGGACCCGAAAGAAACGACCCAGAACTAAAGACAATCACCAACCATAGTTTTTGGGGTGAGGCTCTGAGGTGGTTCTAGTTGCTAGCTTTCTGAGGAAAAACACGGGTATTCCATGGTGAATGCGACGCCTGAAAACAGCGTTGGCATTTGGAGCAGGGGGTACACTTAGTGGCATTGCTGCGCACTTTTTGAACATCCACTAGGCTTCTGAGAAAAAGCAGACGCTTTCCCAGGGCCAAGGGCCGGCCGGCCGCTTTTTCTTTGCTCTTTTCGGAGGGCCCCTGCGGTGTCTGCATTGGAGCCCGGAATGCCCGGTCATTTGTTCCCGAAGATGGCCCAGGGCCCTGTGGCCTCCCCATGAGACTTTTGTTTACTGTAGAACGAGGTAGTCGTGTTCTCCCTGTTTGAACCAAGCATGTTCCTTTGCAAAGTTTAGTTGCTGGAGACATTACCTGACAAGCTTGAAGCAAGTCTCCGCTATGGGTGATGTTTTTTCAGAAAAAATGTTAGGATCGACACTTGTTCTGCCTTGTATAATGCGCGACTCTCATAGCCTGGTTTTTCCAGTCTGTATCACCCAGTTGGATTCGTGCTTCTTGTGCAATGGAAATAAACAAAGAATCGAACAATCTTTGGAGGTCCTCTATTTTCCAAATATGAAGTTGGCAATCCGGCAGTGTTGGATGCGTTCTCCTGCCCTTTGGCTCTCTTTGGCAACATGCCAGTGCATCCAAAGCAGCTTGCTGCTCTACAGCTCAGGAGTCTTTTAGCGTCCTCCACAGCTTGTGATCAATCCTAGATTGGGGATCCTCTCCGGGTTTTCCGCACAGTGTGTTGGTTTCCTTGAGGGTCCTGATGCAGCATGAAGCTGCTTTGAGCTAGAAGGGTCATGAGCTGGAAGGGTCCTTGAGGATGCGCTTTGTGGGAAACCTCTCCACCCATGTTCCTGCACCCTCAAACTGCCCACCTATCGGGAAATTCACCCCTTATTGCTTGCAATTTTTTATGTGTATTTTGATGGCCCAGGTTGTCAAGTTGTGTGAATTATCATCGATTTGGGTGAACATCTGTGCCGCGATTCGTAACCAGAATCGGCCGCGCTCAAGGATACATTGCGGCGTTTTGCGGATTTCCTTTTGGCACGTTTCCCACACGATTAGGGCAATCCTCACGATTCTGTGGGGTTGAGGGACACAAAATGGAAGTTCAACAACCATAATCTTGGGGCTATAACACATCTCCAAGGGTTTTTGCTTTGAGGGTCCAGGCAAATTTTCGGAAGTGACTCACTTTCGTGAGCTTTTGAACGCGGCATCGAAAGCCTTTTGAACAACAACCAAGCGCTTCGTCATATTTGACTCTGCTGATTCCCGAGAAATATTACAGGCAAACCACGAATAGTAAACAGCGTCGTTAGCGAGCTGCATTTACCGGACCCTCAAACAAAAGGGAATTTCATGTGAAATGATGATCGGCACGGAACAAAGGGGTCCCTGTAATATGAAAGGCACCTTCTCAAGCCTGGTTGCAAATTGAACTATCGCCTTGTCACCTGGGCCATATAGATCGAATTGAGAAACCTCCCGACCTCCCTCGTCGTTGACTTGTCTTTCGGAGGTCTTGAGATTGCGAGCTCGCGAAGACATCATCTGCACAAAGTCTCACCCAGTGGATTGCAGAGTTTCGCCACTAATTGTGTTTGGTAACCCTTCGCCTTTGTCCCGTTGGTTTGAAAGGCTGGCAAGCACTTGGTTACGGTAACAAAAACCAGGTAAATGGAATCACTGGGCAACGGGGCAAAGTCATCAGGTTCCACCAAAGGCAAAAGCCACGCAGCCCAAAGGCTCACCGCTCTCTTTTTTTCGTTGCCTCTCCGCCACGTCACCGCTCACCTCGGCTCCGGAAGGGCCACAAAATAAAAACGCCAGCCGTATTAAAAACAAAATCTGAAGCTAATGCGTCTTGATTCAAGGCACCAAAAGCCCTCCTTCCGACTGGCTTTTGGGCCTCAACAGAGGTTGTAAGGGTCCTTGACGGTCACTATGGGTTCTTCATTGGAGAGTCTGCATGGGCCCCCCGAATTCATGACCCGTAGGCCTGGGGGAAACGATTTGTAACTCACAAAGGATGCGTCTGAACCCAGGGGAATCATGTGTGTGTGTGTGTGCGCCACAAAAGGGCATCCCAGAAGGAGTCCCAGAACTGAGCTGTCCTCAGATCCCAAAAGTTTCATATGTGGGTTAAATGGAAACCCCCACTAAACCCTAAAAACCTACAACGCACCCAGTAAAAACCTAAGGGGACGGCTGGAAATGGAAACCACCCCAAAACATGAGTACCCTCAAGAACAAAATGCGTGCAACGCAGGAAATGGCACAGTGCGTCCCTTTGAAGGATCCTATCCTGATAACATATAACCCTGTGCCGTACACCCAAGCCGACCCCCCCCCCCCAAAACAACAAAACGAAAAGCTGAGAATTCCCTTCAAGGATCTAGCAAAACCAGCACTGTTTCTTAAATGAACAAGTGCAAACTTGCTGTTCCAGCAAACTGGAGTGCAAGAAAACTTTCTGGTGCTCAGTAGGGAACGACCCAGGGTTTGGGAATGAATCTAGGGATTCCTCCAAGGAACCCATAGGGGATGGTTTACAGTCCCTGAGAACCAACAAAAAAAGTATCTTACCCTTCGGTTACAATCTTATGTCCCCGAGGCTGTCTAAATGCCTTGCAAGAAGGAGTGTTGAATGATGTCAACTTCGGATTCATTTGGAGGTCCAAACTAGTCAAAGGTGGCTCCCTTGTCTCTAAGTGGAATTGTCTCCATTTTAGGAAGGCTCGGATCTTTGTATGCTCCTTGGTCACGGACCAAGATAAGGCCCTTCATGATTCATGAGTGGACGAGCTCGCGTGTACGTCCTCGGCGAGCTTGGTGCCTACTATCAACCCCCATAGCCCATTTGTGGGATCCAGGCACTTGTGCAGGGTGGAAACAAACGATTTCCACTGCGGGATCTGGGGTTTGGGGTCGTGGAAACCAGCTTGGACGAAAGGTCCTAAGAAGCGAGTGCTTCAAGTGGATTGAGAAGAACCCCCGAAACCACACGATACCCTACCTTTGTTTGGGGTATGAAAGGGTATGATGTCAACCCGGAAAGGATCTCAACCCAGTTTTCAGTTGGACTAAAAAATGGATCGGTCAAGTTATCCTTTGGAAAACCCATCTCTTTTCCAAAAACAAGCGCAGGCGACATCCCCAACAGCATGCCGTGCTCTTGTTATGGCTCGAACCACCCCGCAGCCCTCGCAGAACCCTGGTGGAACCCTGGTGGAACCCTGGTAAAACCCTGGTGGAACCCTGGTGAAACCCCCCTCGTGCCTCAGGGCCGCCCCGGACCACCCCGGAGCCTATCTGGGCTGAGACCCCAAAGCTTTCAGCTGTTGGGGAAAAACAGCTAAAACAAGCTGGGTATTTGGGGTAGGGTGAGACTTCCCAGAATTACTAAGCAGGCATTCGCTCAGGTCGTCAAAGTATCAAAGGATCAAACTGACCCAGGCAAAACTTTGTTTCGCGCCTGTTTCAGGGTAAGCCCTTGAAAAGGCACGTGCCCCAATGCCCTGCTCCAGTCCACATCTTCAGATCTTGAACATGTCATATTTGAGACTTGGTGGACAAATGTGCGAAAGGCCAAACTCCAAAGAAACCATCAAGGGTCCTTTCGTCAAGTGTCGGAGGCTTCAGCATGATTTAGCCGAAGTCAATGCAGATCTCAATCTCGTACGCGTTGGTCTCAGTGTAATTCTTCGTGAAGTGTTTGTGCAGGTGATCCAATTGCGCCAGTTGTTGGTTTTTATTCACCAAGAAAGAACCGTCCACACACGATGCAGAGATATGGATGGTAAGCTTATAGATGAATACTGTTCTGAATACTTGTTCTTCCAGATCATCTGTGAGCACGCATGATGCTGAATCCAGAGGCGGCAACGGTGTGAAGTATTTAGACAACATCGGCAAGACCTTTCTGGCTGGGACAAACAAACCACGCAGTCAGCCATTTTGCCGAAAAAACAACTGTTAAACAACCAAGCAGGAGAGCAAAAACCAAATTTCAATCGCTGTCCTGTGCCCCAACCACCTTAAGCACCGCCCCTGCAGAGATCAATTTTCAGCTTCTTTCTTTCTCTAAAGTTTGCCAACTCCGGCAAGATGCCTCACTGACATGGCTAATGGACATAAGATCCTGCTCGCCTTCCTTGCGGTAATATCTGTGACGAGCTTCCACCACACATCTGCGAACATCCTCTGGAATTCGCGGCCAGGATGATCCAGAGCCAAGGTATTCGGACTCCTCGGTCAATTCTTCGAGTTGCTGGAGGACGTGGTCAAACGATGTGCGCCCTACCTCCTGGAGCGCTACCGCCTCGAACTCTCGCCTCCAATCAGAACGGAAGAGTTCTTTCTTTGTGTGGAAGACTTTTGCAATGCGCTCCAGCTGCGGAATGAGGTGCCTCAGCGTATGTTTGGAGGCTGGCACGTGACTTTCGCCATCCTGCTCCACCATCTGCTTGGCATCCTCCAACATCTCTTGAAGGATAACCCCAGTCAGATACATGTTATCCATGATGCAGTCACAATGACCATACATAGCAAACGTGTCCCGCAAGGCCTCATACTCTTCATCCAGCAAACCGTTTACCTTGGCGCGCTCAAAGGGCAACTTCAGCTTGCGGCACCCGGCTGGGAAAAACTCCTGGTCAGCAGCCCTCTGAAGGGGGCCTGCCAATTGCATGTCGGTCCGCCCACCTGTGATGTGGAGCAGCAGCCGCTTCAACCGGATCAAGAAAAATGAAATATCACAGTCGTCCTCACCAGTCCAAGACAACCATCTGCAAAAAAAAACGCATCCTTTTAAACCATGACAACAAAATCAGGGATCAGGTCAAAGGTTTGCTTGTGGACAAAAGTGAGTGTCTTTTTCAGCCTGCATCATATGCATCAGTGCAGCTGGCACGAGGCTGGAAGCTCGCATACAGTCCCCAAATTGGCAGAAGTAGCCGAAGACATACGTGTTTGTTGGGCTGCGGTCAGGAGGGCTTGAGTATGCGTGGCAAAGCGACAAGCATCTGCTCGAGTCCAAAAGCACCTTGCTGAGTTCAGCATCGGGCCGGAAAAATTGCTCATGCTGTGCTGGACTTAACCAGAAACCCAGCCCCAAACAGCTTCATCTGAAAGACTTTCGTCTATCCCGGAGCCTCTATCTCAAAGCGAACAAGTAACATGTAAGCCCTTCATGACCATTTTGTAAAGGAAATATATCCCTCCGTAAGCCTACAATGTTTGGTGATGGTGGAAACATGTTTGCAGTCAAAGGCTGGCCAACTCAGCAAGTAAGGAACGATGGCACACACATACTCCAACATCGCCATCTCCACGGCGCGTACGACTTCATCTTCCAGCACGAGGCCAAGCTCGCAACTCACAGTCCTATCTTCGTCAATCGACTCGCCATGGCCTCCGTAGTAGACCATCATCTTTTTGATATTCTTTTGTTTCATCCGTGTCGTTGCTATAGTGAGCTTTTCTCGCAGCTCCATTTGCAAGCACGCATCGCCTTCCGGCTGGCTCTCAAGTTCTTTCGCAAATACCACCGGCTCTGAGCAAATTCCCATGAGGGCGACACATTCTGCCAGGATCTGGCAGTCACGGCATGAGTTGGGGCCATATTCGTCATCTGAGGCATCTGTGTACATTTCGCCTTTCCTCGACACGCCCACGACCACGAGCTGCCACTCATCTGACTCATCCGACTCATTCGACATCGGCTCTGAGTCCACAGGGTCAAAACTCTGCTCCTTCAGCTGCTCCTCGGAAGCCGAGAACCCCGATCAATTCCTCGGCATTTGAAATAATCCGTTGTGAGGGCCCGAAGATCAGTCAGCTTCCCTCTTTTTGGTAGTTTGGATTGGTGGATTGGTGTTTTAGTGGTTTCAGAAATCAGACTTTGCGTCTGCAAGCAGTATTGCGTCTTCCTAAGGTGCTCCCGAAAGTCCTGCCAAATGCCGAAGAAAAGGGGCTCAAGAAAATATTTGGGCAGATGCCCCTGGCAAAATCCAATACCCCTACTGGCACAATCCCATCCCCCTCCTGCCGTAGCATTTCGTCTTTCCCAAGCTGCTCCCAGAACTCCTGTAGCGCGAGAGGGTATTGGGCAACGGCTCTTAGCTCCCAGTTTTGAGACCCCAAACACTTCCATTGAAAGCCCCACTTGGAGGCTCAGCCTGCTTAGTAAGTGTTTAAGGCTGATAGAGCATTTACGTATGTGTTGTATCATGAGTTACAACCATGTTAAATTCATTGCAAATATAGTTATAAATGGTGTACACGTAGTAAACTATTTAGGCTACTTAGACAACTGCGCCGAGCCATTTGCTATGCGTTATAATCCTTGTGCTTGTTTGTAGATAACCGCGTAGATGTGCAAGTGGCCCATTGTGGATAACACACTTGTGTATCTGAGTTGGGCCACTTACGCTATTTTGGCTAAGTGCATTTGTGGGTATGCCATCCCCCCAAAATTCCCACCGATCTGCATGTTCGTGCACTTTGCACAGCTGGGCGAATGTTTTTGCTTTCCACACAGACACAGGTTTCACCTGGTGCGAGATTGAGAAACGCAGCAGTGAGCTTGCAAAAAGCTAAATGTGAGCACGGCAAGTCTGCATGTCTTACCTGGAAGTATGCATCGTTGCAAGTTGGCATGCGTTGAAGAACAGTTTGGGAATGGGCTTCACGTGCTTGATTTTGTGCAGAGAATGTTTTTAACGGATCATGGCTTGCACTTTTGGAGCATGAGTCGCGCCACCCGGCTTGCACTCTGCGGCCTTTGCGTGGATCAATTTCAAGACATAGCTCGCAAGCAGGGCACTAGACGCACTTGCTCGTTTGCAGAGGTCTTCATTGCCGCACGGCATGGTCCTGAGCGCCGATCTCCGTCACGCGGTGCAGGCGAAGCTCAAAGATGCGGCCGACGGCGACCGCCTGGTCAAAGCCGTTGACGACATCATGAGCATGCTTCGCACTGAGGGGCATGTTTGTACTCAAAGGCTTCCTCCGCAACAAGTCGGGGTGCACCCTTGTAACCGAGACGGCCTAGGACTGAGCAGCGCAGACGTGCGCTCGTTGCTCGATGAAATCATTGACGTCGGCTTCGTGGCGAGCCGTGTCCATGCGGTGGCAGTCGAGATTGCGGACGACTCGGTCCGGAAGTGGAACGAGGAACTCGTGCATGCCTCGGCGAAGCTCGGCACGCTCCAGGGCGACAAGCTGAAGGCCGTCTCCCTCTCGGCGTCTCACACGAACTTTGCCCTGCGCCTGCTTGCGCAGGAGGTGGAGCACGAGAGCGACCTCGTGTCGGTGCAAGGCAAGCTGAGCATGGCGCGCCTGCAACAGTGGGATCGCGCTTTCTACGAGGCAGCCTTGCACGGACTTGGCCGAGGCCAGAGCTCCTGCACTATGTCCAGACGCAAGGGAATGCCACGCTCAGCTGCGGGGAGCACGAACTCAAAGTGGTTCGGCGGCTGCACGCGCTGTGGCTGCAGGCGGACGCCACTGGGAATGTCGACTTTGGCGTCATCAAGAAGCGGACATTGGCATCGAAGCCTGGGTGCGCAAAGAGCGTGCCACACCTTTACACCTTTGCCCTCAAGTGTGCAGGGGGGCGCTCGGCGGTGCTCTTGCAGGAGACGGAGAACTTCGTCAGGGCGCATGCCCCGTCCTCTCGCATGTTAGGCCCTGACATCTGGGAGATTCTCTCTCAGGACGCCCGTGGGCCGGCCCAGAATGTCTTGTTCAGGCATGCGTTGGTGAAGCTGGCCTACATCCGCGACACGCTCACCGCCCAAGAGGCACGTAAAGCCTTCACCAAGGCTGTGTGGGTCAAAGCCAGCGAGGCTGACGTCATTATGCAGGAATGGCGTCGGATCGTGCGCGAGCAGTGTGACCTGCAGAAGGACCACCGGATCGTGGCAGCCATGGGCTATGCGGATGTTGCGCTGGCTGCCATGGTGCTGAACTTGAAGGTGCACGGGGAGCGCAAGTGCGAGACTATGCAGGGGATGGCCCATGGCTTTGTCACGATGCTCCGCACGATTGCTGGCAATGCTGCCATCCGGTCCCCGTGGGAAGAGTTTGAAGAGGCCTGCCCGGAAAGCAGCTCTGCCTCACAGCCCTTGAAAGACAAGCACATCATGCGGGAGCTCAACACGGATGGCAGTGTCAAGCCACATGAGGATCGTCTCCTGGAGGCTGGCTTCGAAATGGGCCAAAGTGTTCGGCGAAAGCCGAACATGTTGGAAGGCAAGCTTGTGGGGCTGCAGGATGGCAAGGTCCGTGTGGAGCTCATTGAGAACGGGCTGGTGGCCAAGATACTGATCGATGGGACAAGCTCAACATCCAAGTCAAGCCAAGCAAGCTCGTGCTGTGCAAGTCAGCCATCCCAAAGCACAAGCTCATGTTGGCTCCTGCGTCCCTCAACTTGCGCCACAAGCTCACGCCCCCTGAGGGGCCACCCCCCTTCATGGTCGAGACGGCATTCCCGGGCGAGTGCTACTTTTGGATTGCGCCGACCGTTGTCCAGCCCAAGGGCGAAGATGACGGTGGCTTCCTGAACCCCTTCTGGTTCGTGGGCACGTCGCACGAGGAAGCTGACTGCAACATGGAGCTTGTCTACAAGTCTGTGAACAAGGACTCGGGCATCAAGTTGCCCATGCTCCGCAACAAGGAGGCCTTAAGCGAGGGCGACCGCCTGGTGCTGTTCAAGGACAGGGCTGCAGCCCCGGAGCCTGCAGCCTTGGAGATGACGCCTCCCAAGCGCCGGGGCACGGCGAGCGAAGAGCTCGCAGGGGCAGAGCCTAAGAAGCGGCTCAGGATGAAGGGGCATTGATCATGTCCGTGTCTCGGGCCGCCAACGTGCTAAATTTTGAACTCCTTGGTTTTTCCACATGTGCGCAAGATCCTTATGCATGATCCCTTGACACCATGGCACGTTGGCTTGATCGAAGTAGAAACCTCCACTCACGGCGCTGCAAGAACTTGAAACAGCTTGCGCCAAGGCATGTTTGACATGGTCCATCCATTTGCCCACGCCAGATTGAGAGAGCTTGTTGGTTTTGCACGCACGTTGTATATTTTGCGTGAGTCGTGGCACACACATGTTCTGTCCGCAAAGCAGGGCTCGCTGAGCTGATGCAGGGCTTTTGAAGTTTCGTGCTTGTGTACTCAAAGTAGACAGCGTTCCGCTGAGGCATGGAAGCGAGACTTGACTGTTTGTGATAGATTGGCTCGCTAGTGCACTTCAGCAATCTTGGAAGTTTCTATAGAGTCATGTCGCTGGAGCTGGAGAACCTGATCGTTGTCCGCTACAAGGACACTCCTGATGCCAAGCGCCAAAATGAGTGGGTGCCCAAGCAAAAGCTGGAGCATGAGAAGCATTGGATGTGCTTCTCAAAGTGGGACCGGCATTTCGTTCGCTTCTGCAGCGGCAAGTCGTTGGACCTTCGGGCGGGCAAGCCCTCCGCCACGGTGGACACACAGTACATGGATGAGGTGTTTGCTGCGAGGCAGAGTGCCTGCAACCTGGCTGCGCAAGAGGCGTTGCGTGTCAGCGACGACGAAGCCGACAATGGGCCGAGACGTAAGGTTCAGGTAGGCACGCTCCCGCCACGCAAAGCGTGGGCGCTGTTTGAGGGGATCGGTACCGGCACGTTCTGGCTTGAGCTGACTAGCCCAAACCTAGAGCATCGCCGGCAATTGTTAAGGTAAGAGGGTCTGCCAGCAAGGGCAGAGCCGGCAAGCCCGAGCATGAGGCGGGCCCACCTGAAGCGGCGGAAGGTGAAGACTCCGTCCAAAGCGAGTCTGATTGATTGGGTGGAAGGTCATGTGTTCACTCATGCTCAATTCTTTCTTTTGTGATCAAGGCAGATTTGCGTGCTGTGTTGATAGAGATCCGGCTGACCGTCACATCCATCATTCTGCATATACAGTCACAAGCATGTCGAGAACGCACCCACTGCAGGAGCTCGCTGAAAGGGCTTGGGCAGCAACCATATTCTTTGCCCCCCGTAAAAAGTGCGTTCTTTTCCGGAGAAGCTTCCCCGCCTTTCCCCCCATTTTGGGTTGACACCGCTGAGATCAATGCCGCGCCGGCCGTGGCTCGCAAGTTTTTGTTTTTTTCCCGAAAGCATCGCGAAGGGTTCTTCCGTGCGGAGCCCTTGGACAAGTTACACAGAGCCAAGTTACATAGAGCCAAGTTACATAGAGCCAAGTTACAATAGAGCCAAGTTACATAGAGCCAAGTTACATAGAGCCAAGTTACATAGAGCCAAGTTACATAGAGCCAAGTTACATAGAGCCAAGTTACATAGAGCCAAGTTACATAGAGCCAAGTTACATAGAGCCAAGTTACATAGAGCCAAGTTACATAGCCAGTTACATAGAGCCAAGTTACATAGAGCCAAGTTACATAGAGCCAAGTTACATAGAGCCAAGTTACATAGAGCCAAGTTACATAGAGCCAAGTTACATAGAGCCAAGTTACATAGAGCCAAGTTACATAGAGCCAAGTTACATAGAGCCAAGTTACATAGAGCCAAGTTACATTGAGCCAAGTTACATAGAGCCAAGTTACATAGAGCCAAGTTACATAGAGCCAAGTTACATAGAGCCAAGTTACATAGAGCCAAGTTACATAGAGCCAAGTTACATAGAGCCAAGTTACATAGAGCCAAGTTACATAGAGCCAAGTTACATAGAGCCAAGTTACATAGAGCCAAGTTACATAGAGCTAAGTTACATAGAGCCAAGTTGCATAGAGCCAAGTGGCACAGACCCAATTGACACAGAGCCAGGTGGCACAGAGCCAAGGTTAGGTAGAGCTTGAGTAGAGCTTCGGCGTAAGCAGCTATGTAAGTTAGTTTAGGTTTCTCATGCGCCGGGGCGGGAGTTTGATCATCGCTCGGGATTGCGACCCTCTGCGGAGATTCGTGTGGTCGAGGTTAAAAAACTGTGGACTTTTTACGATTTTTCGCATGCGCGCGCGACCCTCTGCGGAGAGTCGAGGTTCAAAAACTGTGGACTTTTTACGATTTCTGCTGGCCGCGCGCGACCCTCTGCGGAGATTCGCGTGGTCG